TTTAAATTTGCTAGCAACACCAATCCATTTTACTTATTCAGCTCGGAAAACAGAAAAACCGATAAGGGCCTAAGGTTTTTCAGAAAACCAAATGAGTTGGTGATTTATGCAGTGACCGATTAGGGTAACACAAAACCTAATTCTACAAACTAAGTGAAAAATACAATGTTTTACATGCGTTGATGTTGAAGGTTTCATTCCAGGGAGATTAAAAAGTAAGTATGTACCTAATACTGAATGAGTATCTCAGAAGAATTTTGTGTTTAATAGCATAGGAAGAACTGTGATTGTCTTATGAAGCTTCTTGGTTAACAAGAGTACTAGCAGGATTTTGAATTTACATAAGAACCTCCCCACCGGTATGCTCAAGGTTCCTACCTCCAGCCCCCTTTTCCTGATAGTTGAGGGACTAAAGCCTAGAATTTATTTTTCTCAAAGCAATCTACTTGATACCACTGTTTCTTTTTTTTGTATGTGAGGAAGATTAGCCCTGAGCTAACATCCCTTGCCAATCCTCCTCTTTTTGCTGAGGAAGACTGGCCCTGGGCCAACATTCGTGCCCCTCTTCCTCTACCTGATATGGGACACTGCCACAGCATGGCTTGATGAGCAGCACATAGGTCCGTGCCCAGGATCCAAACCTGCCTACGCTGGGCCACGGAAGTGGAGTATGCGAACCTAACCACTATGCCACCGGGCCGGCGCCCCCATTGTTTCTTTTAATTGTAACCAAAGCTCAAAGTTTTTGGCTTCATAATTACTGTTCTCACGTCACACCCTCCTTCCCTGTCACTGACCATTGCCCTCAACCACCGGGAACAGAAACTCTTTTGAGCACAGGCATCTATTTTTTTCTTCCTTTCACTTCACTAGCCTCAACACAGGGCCTAGCAAACAGAAGTAACTTAATAAATGCTTGTTGCTGGAAGTAAGGAAGAGAACTGGGCCTACTGTGCAAAGCACCTGTCTCAGCACAAGGAACAGAGACAAAACATGCAGCAGAGGGGCAGCTCAGTTGCTTTTCCAGAGTTCTTTCCCCAGCCCAAGAGAGCAACTGTAAATCCCAAGATTCCCGATATAACAGGAGTAAAGGAGCTCCGCTACAGAAGCTTTTGCGGCACAGGTTGTGAGATCAGGGAGTCAGCATCATAGGGTTCCATCTACAAACTGTGGTCATTTTCCACAAGCAAAGTACATGCGATGGGGTTCTTGTGCACAAGTCAGCTTGGGGCCAAGCAGTAAAATTCTTAAAACACTCTAAAACACAATCTGTACTGGCTGCCCTCAGTCTAAGCCTGCTCCTAACAATCCTAACCAGACAGAGTTTTTATCATTTATCAGCCTCCAAATTACACTAAAACCAGCTTTGCCAAAAATTAACTCATTTATGCAGAACAAAGTACCCCCCCCAAACCTTCCATTAAGACTTAAGATATTCAAAAACTACAATTTCTTCAACTTGCCAAGCATCAAGTATTGTCAGTTTGGTATAAATGTTTACTACATTCCACACACTATCTTCAGCCTACTGTAGACCCATAAAAATAGTCCTTTTTAACTAGAGACCAGAGAGCAAATTGTTGAGGTCAATGACTTCTACCCTGACAAAGCAGTGACCATTGGACAAGTCCTGTGTCTCATCTATGACCTACAAGTTATATTGCTTAAGAAATTATGAAATCTCATTTTCTCAGACCAAATGTGGCTAGACTTGTGGTCAAGGCCTCCGTCCTGCCCAGTTTTTTTCCCAAAGTGAATCAGCAGCATTGTTATCAACCCACAGATAAGGAAATTAAGGGGTAAAAAAAGGCTTTTCATTAATAACAGAGAAGAACAAGGGACCCTCCTTCTTTATTTGCTATCTTAATGTTAAAAAATAACCATAACCCATAAATTGTAAAAAATAGTAAAAGTCTGATTCAAAGCAATATGCAAAACTCAGGAAAGCAATGGTCTGTAACTAAATTAATATACTCATCTTTCTCCTTCATTTTTGGTGAGGAAGATTGTCCCTGAGCCAACATCTGTTGCCAATCTTACTCTTTTTGCTTGAGAAAGACTGTCCCTAACATCTGCGCCAATCTTCCTCTACTTTTTGTATGTGGGTCACTGCCACAGCATGGCTTGACAAGCAGTGCAGAGGTCCACACCCAGGATCTGAACCCATGAACCCAGGGCCACCGAAGCTGATTATGCGTCCCAGCCACTACACCACTGGGCCAGACCCACTAAACCTTTCTTTTTATCCATAAATAATTATTTGGCTTCTTTGAAATTAAAAAAAAATTTTCATGTATTTAAGTCCATCAGCAGCCACATGTAGATGACTCCAGTTTACCTGAGAAGACACGAGAAAATGGCTATTACAAAGTATAACTGCTGAGTATAATGGACACAAGGTCATTACATTACTCTACTTTTGTGTGGGTTTTATAATCTCCATGTTAAAAAAGCATAACACAGGGGCCAGCCCCGTGGCTTAGCGGTTAAGTGCACGCGCTCCACTACTGGCGGCCTGGGTTCGGATCCTGAGTGTGCACCAACGCACCGCTTGTCCGGCCATGCTGAGGCCACGTCCCACATACAGCAACTAGAAGGATGTGCAACTACAACATACAACTATCTACTGGGGCTTTGCGGAGAATAAGGGAAAAAAACGAGGAAGACTGGCAACAGATGTTAGCTCAGGGCCTGTCTTCCTCAGCAAGAGGAGGAGGATTGGCGTGGATGTTAGCTCAGGGCTGATCTTCCTCTCACACACTCACACACACAGAAGATGAAGAAAAAAAAAAAGCATAATATATTAAAAAAAAATTTTTTATGTAAACTTATGCCAAGTGAAAAAAATGGCATGTATCGACCTCTTCTGTTGCCTCATATCAAAGTCAGGGTCCAACCAGGGCACTTGCCTTCTCTAGCCTGTTCTCTGTATCCTCTTACCAGGTCCTCATGTGTACCCATTGACAGATACCAACGGGAAGAACCAGCTTACTCAAGTAGAATGGTGCTGAAAACAATCCAGGTAGATATTAGTAAGTTTTAAATAGAAACTTCGGAACATTTTTGAGATCTGACCTCAAGAGCTCAGAACTGAACATGAGATTATTGCTTCAAAAGAAATTTCCGTATGTTCCTTGATATAACATAAAGAGCCCAACAGATCCAACTTATGGTATATGAGTGAGTCTATACCTGCTTTTTTGTGTGTGTGAGGAAGACAGCCCTGACCTAACATCTGTTGCCAATCCTCCTCTTTTTGCTGAGGAAGACTGGCGCTGGGCTAACATCCATGCCCATCTTCCTCCACTGTATATAGGATGCCGCGACAGCATGGCTTGACAAGCAGTGCGTCTGTGCGCGCCTGGGATCCAAACCTGTGAACCCTGGGCCGCCACAGCACAGCGCCGGCACTTAACTGCTACGGTACCAGGCCGCCCCAGTCTATACCTGCTTTTTATGTGGTTTGTCCAACACCTTTACCTCCACCTCAAAAACTCAGACTCAGCAATAAAATTTATTACACCAAAATGCCTATGGACTTCCCAAGAGTGGACTCAAGGTACTTTCAGGAGGAAGCAAGACATAAAACAATCGGAATGGAGCTGAAATTAAATGTTCAAGTATCTTTTACACTGTTCCTTTCCACTGCCTTATGGGGGAGGGGACTACATTTCTCCAGCCGCAGTCTGAGAATAGCAAAGGAACAGGCTTCACTATGCCCTTGTGAATATGATATCAAACATAACTGATTTTTTAGTGTAGTTCGTCTTGGAGAAGACTGACGTCGAATTTTGGCTTCCTGGAGGAGCAAGTTCCACGGGTTGACTCACCACTCTGTTAAACCTGATTTTTATTGGCTCTTAAAACCTTTAAAATTAAGCCTGGAGGCTTAAATTAACATAAAGCGGAATGGTCCGAAGACTTCCAAGTCTGTGCTAAAGAGAAAATTTTAGACCCAATAGAGGCGAGTTCAGGCCTAGTAAATCCTCAAGGACTGGCACAGCTTGGAACCACTGCAAGTTTGCTGGAAGTGATTCCTCAGCTGATCGAAGAAAATCCCAGGGCTCCCGACGACCCCTCACCTGATTGAACTCCTCGTCGGCGTATATATCAATCAAGTCCACTCCTTCTGACATGGCTCCGGAAGGAAGATCGCGAGCCCGGAGAAGGGACAAAGTAAAAAAGATGCCACTGCGGTATCCAGAAAGAGGCAAGCGTTAGGAGGCATGAGGGTCCCGGCCGGGGAGGAGGGCAATGGTTGCCAGCCTCCCGTCTCCAGAGACGCAGCATCCCGGCAGCCCAAGCTCGGCCCCACCCGCTCCGCCCCGCCCCCGGCCTCGCGCCGCCCCTCGCTCTCTCAGGCCGCCGGGGCTCGCGGGGCTCGCTGCCCATCACCCTCGGGCCCGACCCGAGTTGCGCCGCAGCTGCCCCCGGCCCGACGAGCAAGTCCAGGCCGCGGCTCCTCGGGGCCCGCGAACGGCGCTGCGAAGAACCGCCGCGGCGAGGCCCGCAGCCCCAGCCCGCCGCACCTGCCTAGGCCCCAAGGGGGCCCCGGCTAGAGTCCCCGCGGGTCCCGGAGCTCCAGCCGCCCCCGCTCCCCACCCGGGCCCAGCCCTCGCCCCCGGCTAGGCCCGCCCCGCTCCCTCCCCACACACCCGGCCCGGCGCCCTCGGCCCCCTCCCTCAAAGGCCCGCGCTCCCTCCGCCCGCCGACTCCGGCCGCCCCGAACTCAACCGACCCCCTCCCCGCCTCAGCGCCGGCCCCGAGCCCTCTTCCGGCCCAGCCGGCCCCCGGCCGCGCGCCCCCGTTACCGGGAATATGGCGGCGGCGGCGGCGAGTCCGGACTAGGCCCGAAGCGCGCGAACCGCTCTCGGCCCCAGGTGCCGCCCCCCCCCCGCCGCCGGCGTCACACGCACGGCCACTTCCGCCATACGCAGGGACACATCTTCCGGCTCAGGGCCCCTGCGCCGAAGTCGGCGGGGCGGGCGTCCCGGGGTTGCCGGAAGTGGCTGGGTAGCCGGTTTCCGGTGCGGGTCGGGAAAAATGTCGGTGCTCTCCGTGTTCCCCGTTCTGGCGCGGGTGAGGAGATTGGAGTTTCTCCTGGGGTCCTGGGTGGGCCACAGTGGGGACTGAGTGTCGTCTTCCACCGCAGTCATGGAGAGGATCCTGATAGCCAAGGGCAAGGGCGCACTCAAGGAGAGGTCGAGCCTGCCATTTAGGAGGTTCAGGTCACTTCCACCCGTTTCTCAGCCCACTGTGTGCCTGTCTCGTGGAATCGAACAATCAGCCTTGCAACGAGACCCAATTTAGATTTCACCTATTGCCCAGGTCTCTCTGTTCTTAAGTCTCTCTGTTTTTAAGTCTTCTCTGATACCTATTATAATTTCACATCCTATCATAAGATCTTTCTTTTTTTTTAATATAGGCGTTTACCACTGTAAACTTTCTTAGTACTGCTTTTTGCTGCATCTCGTAATCTTTTGTATGTTGTGTTATCGTTTGTCTCAAGATATTTTCTAGTTTTCCTTTTAATTTCTTCTTTGACCCACTTGAACTGTTGCTTGTTCAAGAATGGGTGTGTTGTTCGGTTGTTACAGATCTGTGAATTTTCCAGTTTTCCTTCTGCTGTTGATTTCTGGTTTCATTCCTTTGTGGTCAGAAAATAGAGTTTGTATAATTTCAATCTTTAATTTAAGACTTTTGTAATCTAATATGTGATCTCTCCTGGAGAATGTTCCCAGTGTGCTTGAGAAGAATGTGTATTCTGCTGCTGTTGGGTGGAATGTTCTGTATATGTCTGATTGGTCCATTTGATCTATAGTATTGTTCAAGTTCTCTGTTTCCTTATTGATCTTCTGTCTGGATGTTCTATCCATTATTGAAAGTGGAGTATTGAAATCGCCTACTATTACTGTGTTGCTGTCTATTTCTCCCTTCAGTTTGTCCTGATTCTTTCTTCTGCTTGATCAAGTCTGCTGTTTGTTTCATATATTTTGGTGCTCTGATATCAGTTGCATATATATTTATAATTGTATCTTTCTGGTGAATTGGCACTTTTATCATTATAGAAATCTCTTGTGACAGTTTTTGACTTAGTTTATTTTGTCTGATATCTGTAGAGCCATGTGTGTTCTCTTTTGGTTACAATTTGCCTGGAATATCTTTTTTGGTCCTTTCACGTTCAGCCTGTGTGTATTCTTACATCTAAAGTGAGTCTCCTGTAACAGCATATAGTTGGATCTTGTGGGTTTTTTTAAGCCATTCAGCCACTCTATGTCTTATGATTGGGGAGTTTAATACATTTAAATTTGAAATAATTACTGATAGGGAAGGACTTATTATTGCTATTTTGTTCATTGTTTTCTATCTTGTAGCTTTCGTGTCCCTCTTTTCCTCTCTTGCTGTCATCCTTTGTTTCATTGATTTTTTTTTGTAGAGACATACTTTGATTCCTTTCTAATTTTCTATTGTGCATCTTCTGTTTTCTTTGTGATTGTCATGGGCCTTACATAAAACATCTTATAATAATCTTTTTTAAGCTGATAACAATTTAACTTCAATCTCATTCAAAAACTCTGCTCTTTGGGCCGGCCCCGTGGCTTACCAGTTAAGTGCGCACACTCTGCTGCTGGCGGCCCGGGTTCAGATCCCGGGCGTGCACCGATGCACCGCTTCTCCGGCCATGCTGAGGCCGCATCCCACATACAGCAACTAGAGGGATGTGCAGCTATGACATACAACTATCTACTGGGGCTTTGGGGGGAAAATAAATAAATGAATAAAATCTTTAAAAAAAAAAAAACTGCTCTTTTACTCCTCCCCACTTTATGTCATTGATGCCACAATTACATATTTTTATGTTGTGTATCCATTAGCATATTTTTGTAGTTATTTTTTATGTTTTTGTCTTTTAACTTCTATACCAGAATTAAAAGTGATTTACGCATCACCATTACAGTATTACAATATTATGTATTTCTTTCATAGTTACTTTTACCAGTGAGCTTTGCTTTCATATGCTTTTGTGTTGCTGTCTAGTGTTCCTGTGGATCCTTTGGGCTTCTTAAATATCAATGTCTGTTTCTTTCCCCAGATGTGGGAAGTTTGGGGCTATTATTTCTTCAAATAAGCTTTCTGCTCCTTTCTCTCTCTTTTCTCCTTCGGGGACTCCCATAATGTGTATGTTGGTCTGTTTGATAATGTCCCATAAGTCTCTTAGGCTTGGTTCCCTCTTTTTTCTTTTTTTCCTCTGATTGGGTAATTTCAAATGACCTGTTTTCAAGTTTACTTATTCTTTCTTCTGCTTGATCAAGTCTGCTGTTTAACCCCTGTAGGGAATTTTTCGATGCAGTTGTATTTTTCAGTTCCAAATTTTCTGATTACTTCTTTTTAATATTTTTCTTTGTTGATATTCTCATTTTGTTCATGTGTTGTTTTCCTGAGCTCACTGAACATCTTGATGGCAGTTGTTTTGAATTCTTTGTCAGGTAATTCATATACCTCTGTTTCTTTAGGGTCTGTTTCTGGAGATTTATTTTGTTCCTTTGATTGGGCCGTATTTCCCTGTTTCTTCACATCCTTTGCAGCTTTGTGTTGGGATCTATGCATTTGAAAAAACAGCCACCTCTCTCAGTCTTTTCAGACAGGCTTTGTACAAGGAAGGACCTTCACCAATCAGCCCTGCTAGAGAATCTGGAGGCCTCTCAAACCTTTCGTGTGGAGATGCCTTCTCTGGATTTGTGTGTGGAAATTGCCAATTATAGGCATTTGCTGATTTCTTTTTTCAGGAGTTTATAATCGTTTGCTCCCTCTGGTGTCTATCTCTGGTACTGCAGGTTCTCTGGAGCTGCTGCAGGCCTCCCAGCTGACTTGTTCTCAGCAGCCCCCAGGCTTCTAGCGTATCCCAGGTCCCATCAGTGCTGCAGGTTGGCCAAGACAGAAACCAGTCCCTTGGGCAGCTCTTTGAAAAGCAGGAACTTTGGATGCGTGCTCCACTCTTTTCGTTTTCCCCAAGACAGAGGCTGCCAAGCTTTATTGGCTTCTGTCTGCTGTACCATGGGTCCTCCGTGGGTCCTCCATGGGTCCTCTGGAGCAGCAGTAAGCCACCCAGCTCTCTTTGTTCTCAGAGGCCCCCCGCTAGAGTATGCTGGGTCCTGTCAGCACTCTGAGACAGGCAGCCCCCCGAAAGCCAGAATATTGGACACATATTCCAAGTCTTTCCTCCCCAGGGAGAAGCCAGGAGTTGGGAGTTTTCTCCACTTGTTCTGTGCTGAGCCAGGGGTAGGGACTATGGTGAGTGAGTGGGTGCTAGTCCGAATCCTCGCCTTTATTCTCAGCAGCCCCCAACCTGACGCCCTTTCCTGTCAGCACTTAGATTCAGACAAGACAGAAACTACTCAGTCAAGCAGCCCCCTGAAAAGTCTGCACATTGGACGTATGTTTCAGCCTTCTCTTTTCCTCCCCAGGGAGAAGCTGGGAGCTGGGAGTTTTCTCCAATCACACTGTGCTAAGCTGAGGGGAGGGCCTATGATGAATGAGTGCCACAAATTTTTCTTCTAGCTTTTTTTTTCCTTTTTTTTTTTTGAGGAAGATTGGCCCTGTGCTAACATCTGTTGCCAATCTTCTTCTTTTTCTTTTTTCTCCCCAAAGCCCCAGTACATAGTTGTGTATCACAGTTGTAGAGTTGTTAGTTGTAGAGTTGTAGCTCTTCTATGTGGGATGCGGCCTCAGCATGGCTTGATGAGCGGTGCATAGGTCCGCACCCAGGATCCAAACTGGTGAACCCCAGGCCACTGCAGTGGAACATATGAACTTAACCACTATGCCACCGGGCCAGCCCGATTTCTTCTAGCTTTGATGCAGCTGGTTTTGTGCTTGCCTGGGGTTCAGGAGCCTTTAATCTGGTTTCTGGATTTCTCATAAAGGGAATTGGTCTGTGTATTGTTGAGTTGGTACCTCCGTGGTAAGAGAGTGTGGGCTTCCCATTACACCATCTTGCTGATGTCATCAACTTCTCATTGCATCTTGATAGTTTTTGCCTTTGAGGGATTAGGGACCATGCTATCACTGGGTGCTCAGATTTTAACACAGGCCAGTGACTAGAATACAAACCATACCATAAGAATTTTAAGGGAATGCAAAGGAAGGAGAAAATATTTTTGCTGGGAGAATTTTTGGAAAGGCACTGGTTAAGAACATGCTTGCAGTTAGTACTAGGTTCCAGTTTTAATTGCAGTTACTATTTGGGTGACCTTGATAAGTTATTTAACCTCTCTGAACCTCAGTTTCCTAAGCCATAAAATGGGGCGGTATCAGCATAATTTTTTAAGGACTAAATGAGATTGAATGCATTTTGCCCCTAGTAAGTTGAGTGAATGACAATGATGGCTGTTGTTATTATAAAGATGTTTGTGGTTTATTTGTTTCAGACACTTGCTCTGTCAAGGCGCCACCTAGTGTCTCCCTTGGTCAGCGTGACATCATTCAGACGCTTCTACAGAGGTGACAGCCCGACAGATTCCCAAAAAGACATGATTGAAATCCCTTTGCCTCCATGGCAGGAGCGAACTGATGAATCCATAGAAACCAAGAGAGCCCGCCTGCTCTATGAGAGCAGAAAGAGGGGAATGTTGGAAAACTGCATTCTGCTGAGGTAGGGGGATAGGAGTCTTGGTGTCACTTCTCTTTGATTGGAGACAGCCTTTTCAGCTTCTTTCTCTCCTTTCTTGTTTTTAGCCTCTTCGCTAAAGAGCATCTGCACCATATGACAGAGAAACAGCTGAACCTCTATGATCGCCTGATTAATGAGCCCAGTAATGACTGGGATATTTACTACTGGGCTACAGGTACTGGACATGATAAGCAGCGTAATGTGAAAAATAGGATGACTTGGGCTGGTCTGGATGACTCTGGAATTGTATCTTAGGCAATTTGTTTTCTTTGATTCATGCCATAGACACTCAAACCGAACACTCTTCAAATTTTTCCAGAGTGTGCAAAATTTGTTTTATTAATTAAGGTTCCAGTAGAAATCTAACTTAAGCAAAAAGGGAATTTGGTGGAATTGTATGGGAAGTTCACAGTATCAAAGGGAAAGTTGAAGAAAAACCAGTTAGAGAATGGCGTGGAACCAGACAGCTCTATAAATCTGCATAGCGGGCCGGCCCCGTGGCTTAGCAGTTAAGTGTGCGCGCTCCGCTGCTGGCGGCCCGGGTTCGGATCCCGGGTGTGCACCGAGGCACCGCTTCTCTGGCCATGCTGAGGCCGTGTCCCACATACAGCAACTAGAAGGATGTGCAGCTATGACGTACAACTATCTACTGGGGCTTTGGGGGGAAAAATAATTAATTAATTAATTAATTTAAAAAAATCTGCATAGCAAGACTTTCTTGGTAGTCTCCCTCTGGCACTGCCTTTGTAAGGAATGAATGCTAACTATGTGTAGTTAGGATTAGCTTTGACTATGAGTAAAAAAAAAAAATCCCCAACAACAATGGCTTAAACAAGACAGAACTAGATTTCTCTGTTTCATGACAGAAGTCCAGAAGTAGGCACTTCAGAGTGTACAGAGTAGCTTCAAAAAGTCATAAGGTTCAGATTCCTCTTGACTTGCCACTCCTTCATCCTCCACATGTCATCTACCTCATGATCCAAGATGGCTGCTGAAGCTCTATCTGTCTTGTCCGTATTTTAGCCAGGACAAAAGCGTGCGGAAGAGCACACCCCGTACTCTACGGATCCTTCTCAGGAAATTGTACACCATTCTTGTACTTATTTTTCGTTGGCCACAGTTGATCACATGACTACGCCTAGCCATAAGGAAGAAATAATATAGTCTATTCCATGTGCCCAGCTAAATTGGGAATTCTATTATCAACGAAACATGGGAGAGTGGATATCAGGGGACATCTCATCATTTCTGTCACACTCTGGATCTCCTGTCTTTGTGTTTCCACTCAATGTTTGTATCATAAAATAGACGCCGTTCTGTAGGTTCCAAGTATAAAGTGTGATAATACAGCGTCTAGAGGTTTATACAACCATTGGGAAGCCCTCAAAAGTGTAAAATATCCATCTGGCCCTTTATAGAAAATGTTTGCCCTGACTTAGCATAATGCATTTGAGAGTCATCTGTGTTGTTCATATTGAGTAGAATTCCATCCAGTGGATGTACCATGGTTGGTTTATCCATTGACCAGTTGAGAGACATTTGGGTTGTCTCCAGTTTTAGGTCATTATGAGTAAAGTCACTATAAACGTTTGCATACTGGTTTTTGCGAACACAGGTTTTAGTTTTTCTCGGGTAAATACCCAGGAGAAGGATTGCTGGGTCACGTGGTTAGGTGTATGTTTAACTTTATAACGAACTTTTTCTGTAATAGGCCAGATAGTAACGTAGGCTCCGCATTCTCTGTCGTACGTATTCAACTCTGCCGTCATAGCACGCAAGCAGCCATAGACAATAGAAAAACAAATGAGTGTAACTGTGTTCCAATAAAACTTTATTGATGGACACTAAACTTTGAATTTCTTATAATTTTTGTGTGTCACAAAATACATTTGATGTTTTTTTCCCTCAACCATTTAAAAATCATTCTTAGCTCACAGTCCATACAAAAACAGGCAACAGGCCATAGTTTGCTGACTCCTGTTCTATACAAGAGGCCAGACTCAAAGACTACATACTGTGTGATTTCGTTATATGATATTCTGGAAGAGGCAAAACCATAGGGGCAGAAATCAGACCAGTGATTGCCAGGGACTGGTGTGAAGGGAGGGGCTGATGTTCTACATCTTTATCAGCACTTGGTATTATCTGTGTTTGTTTTTAGCCACTCAAAGGAGGATGTAGTGATACATCACTGTAGTTTTAATTGGCAATGACTAACGATATTGAGGATCTTTTCAAGTGCTTATTTGCCATTCGTGCATCTTTGGTGACATGTCTTTTCAAATCTTCCCCCCATTGGGTTGTTTGTTTTCTTATTATTGAATTTTTTTTTTTTATAATTTTATTTATTTATTTTTCCCCCAAAGCCCCAGTTGTACGTCATAGTTGCACATCCTTCTAGTTGCTGTATGTGGGACGCGGCCTCAGCATAGCCGGAAAAGCGTGCGTTGGTGCGTGCCCGGGATCTGAACCCCGGGCCGCCAGCAGCGGAGCGCGCGCACTTAACCACTAAGCCATGGGGCCGGCCCTTATTATTGAATTTTGAGTCTTCTTTATTCCAGATTCAAGGCCTTTATCAGAGACGTGTCTTGCAAATTTTTTCTCCTTATCTCTGGAGACATTTTCATTTCATTTCATTTTCTTTTCTTTTCATTTTCTTAACGTTGTGTTGCAAAGAGCAGTTTTTAATTTTGGTGAAGTTCAGTGTATCAGTTTTGTTTAGTGGGTTGTGCTTTTGGTATTGTGTCTGAGAACTTTGCCTGATCCAAAGTCACAAAGATTTTCTGTTTCTTTCTAGGAATTTTAGAGGTTTTAGAATCAGCTGTTCAATTTCTCCAAAAAAACAAAGAGATCCTACTTGGACTTTGATTGGGGTTGTGTTAAATCAGTAGATCAGTTTGGAAGGATTCTTTTAACAATTTAGAATCATCTAATCTATTAACACACTATATCTCCTGTTATTTAGGTCTTCTTTGATTTCTTTAATCAGTGTATTACTGTTGCTGCATGATAAATTACCCCAACATTTATTGGCTTAAAACAACCCACATTTATTATCTCATAGTGTCTGTGGGTCTGGAATCCAGGCATGGCTTAGCTGGGTCCTATGCCTCAGTCTGTCTCGAGGTCACAATCAAGGTGTCAGCCCAGGCTCTGGAGGCTCATTTGGAGGCTCAACTAGGGAAAGATTACTTCCAAGCCCTCCCTGGTGTTGGCAGAATTCAGTTCCTCACAGGCTCTTCACCTGCAGGCCTCAGTTTCTTGCTGAGGCCTGTAGGTTGTTGCCTACAGGCCTCCTTCTGTTCCTTGTCACAAAGGCCTCTCCTACATGGCAGCTTGCTTCATCAAAGTACACAAGCTGAGAAGGCAATAGAGTCTACTAGCAAGGTGGAAGGCAGAATGTTTTGTAACCTAATCACAGAAATGACGTTCCATCATCTTTGCCATATTATGTTGGTTAGAATCAAGTCATTAGGTCCAGCCACACTCAAGGGGAGGGGACCACACGATGGTGTGGTACCAGGAGGCGGAGATCACTGGGGACCATCCTAGAAGTCTGCCTGCTGCAATCAGTGCTTTTGAGTTTTCAGCATATTTTGTACCTATTTTGCTAGACTTAACCTATATATATATATAAAATATTTTGGTGTATATATTTTGGTTATATATATTTTGGTGCTGTTATAAATGGTACTTTTTAAAAATTTTTGATTTCCCATTATTGCTAGAATGTAGAAATACAATTGGTTTTTGTATATTGACTTTGTATACTGTGACCTTGCTAAACTCACTTAGTTCTAGAAGCGTTTTTATAGATTCCTTGGTATTTTCTGTGTGGACAGTTGTATCATCTGTGATCAGAGGTGGTTTTCTTTCTTCTTTCCCAATCTGTATACCTTTTGTATCTTTTACTTGCCGTACTGCACTGTCTAGGACCTTCCGGTGTAATGTTGAATAGCAGCAGTGAGAACAGGCATCGTTGCCTTGTTCCCTGTGTTAGGGGGAAAGTATTCAATCTTTTACCATTAAATATAATGTTAGCTGTAGGTTGGTTATAAATGCCTTTTATCAGATTGAGAAAATTTTCCTTCCATTTCTAGTATATTGAGTGTTTTATCATAAATAGATGTTGAATTTTGTCAGGTGCTTTCTATGCATCTATAGAGATGATCATTTCTTTAGCGATGTGATTTTTTTCCTTTAGTTTATTGATATGATGAATTTTTGATTGATTTTCAAATATTGAACCAACCTTGCATTCCCAGGATAAACACCACATGATTTGATATACTGATATTTTGGAGAAGTTCTTTGTATTTGTTCATGAGGGATATTGGTGTATAGTTTTCTTGTAATGTCATCATCTGGTTTTGATCAAGGTAATACTGGCTTCATAAAATGATTTGTAAAGTGCTCTCTCATCTTCCATTTTCTGGAAGAATTTGTATAGAATTGGTTTTATTGCTTCCTTAAATAGTTGATAGATTTTGCTAGTGAAACCATCTGGATCTGGGGTTTTCTTTGTTGAAAGTTTTTAACGGTAAAGTCAAATGTTTTTTAATAGATATGGAACGATTGAGGTTATCTATTTCTTTCTTTCTTTTTTTTTTTGTGAGGAAGATCAGCCCTGAGCTAACAGCCATGCCAATCCTCCTCTTTTTGCTGAGGAAGACCGGCCCTGAGCTAACATCTATTGCCAATCCTCCTTCTTTTTTTCCCTTTTTCTCCCCAAAGCCCCAGTAGATAGTTGTATGTCATAATTGCATATCCTCCTAGTTGCTGTATGTGGGATGCCACCTCAGCCTGGCTGGACAAGCGGTGTGTCGGTGCACGCCCGGGATCCGAACCTGGGCCGCCAGTAGCGGAACGCGCGCACTCAACCACCAAGCCACAGGGCCGGCCCCAAGGTTATCTGTTTCTTCTTGGGTGAGATTTGATAGTTTATGTCTTTCAATAAATTTGCCCATCTTGCATAAGTTGTTGAATGTATGGACATAAAGTTGTTTGTAATATTCCCTTTATTTTTTGCGTTCTTTTTTTTTTTTTTTAACGCTTCAGTGCATGCTTGTATATCCTAGTTTTTGGTTTTTAGTTCTCTGTATGAGCCACCACCACAGTATGATGACTGACAGACGGGTGGTGTGGTTCCTCAACCGGGAAACAAACCCAGGCCGC